GGCTGTATGCAAGACTGAACAATTCTGGAAGTTTTCGTGGCAAACTGCAAATTGTCTGTATGCACAATGTCAAAGTAAGGCACCATGAATGAGTGTGTGGATATGCCATTTTACATCTTGAATCCTCTGTGAACCTGGATTTTCTCTTTGCTAGATTTTGCAGCATTCAACTTATCCGAATTGTAATACAATACAAAGAACTGAATGCCAGGTAAACGATTAGAAAATTAAAATGTATTTCGTACAAACAAAATTTATTCAATGTGTATGCAGACATCAAAAGCATTCTATCTTACATAATACGGTATCCCTAATGTTCCTGTATCCAATATTTTGCCAGTTTTGGAAAATTGATTTTTGATCTATGATTCATCTTGCTCTTCAGACTCACTGTCTCACTGTGCTCAGACAGCTAAATGACTTTCTGAAAGCCAGCATCCCCTAGTTACAGAGTACACTTTACTGCTAATTCTGGTCATTCTTCACTGACCACACAAAGTTCTCCTGGAGATACCCGTAGGTACAAATGTAGAAAATCTATCAACAGCTTTTAATCCACAGTAAAACATACGTGAGATACGTGAGATTTTGCACCTGCAATTCTCCTCACTCCAGTAATCAAATCTGAGTCTTCTCTGAGTTCTCAATTAAAGAATGCTTCCACCTTCCTTCCTTTAGTGACAGACAGTATCAAACACTGATTATACAAAGAAACTGAAGACTTCCAATAATGAAAAGGGCAAGTTTTCTTCAGTTTAAATTTGCACAAATCTGTTACTGATTCCTTGCTAGCAACATCTGTATCAGCAACCATTTATCAAGCCATCCAATTCAAGTTCAAGGGCTTAAGAAGCAGAAATCTGATCCATGTGTTACATATAAGATATCTTTTTGACCTTGATAATGTTAAGACAAAGCTGTTTTGTATGAAGTGCACCAAAGATACCCCTGGTAGAAAAGTAGTCAAAACAAGCCAATTCAAAGTTGTTGTCTTTGGAAATTTTCCATGTCTGTAAAAGAAATCTGCATGAATTTCTTGCAAATTTCTTTCTTGTGGCACACACGTGTGAGTGTTTTGATATCTTATAGTTTTACTTGGCAATGCAATGGCATATTTTCCGCGGAAAGGTGACTTGGTATGAACATTTTTTCACACCACAAAATTTTCTTTCGTGGATGAATTCAATTCAATTTCCTATTGTGCCAAGGTTGATCTTTCAACACTCTCCTATTAGAAACAATGTTGAAAAAAGCCATCACCTAAAAATGTCACCAATTTCGCAGCTCTTATTAAGCCAGAAACAGGAACCTTGATATATCATAGTACTCCTGGTAAAAATACAGTAATCCTTGGTACATGTATATTTAAAACATTAGCAGTAACTTCTCCAAGCATGCATTTCTGACAAATCTGTGGCAGGCTACCTCAGAAAAAAGCACTGCACATCTCACTTACCACCATTTGTGGGTCCCTCCTTGTAAGAAGTTCTTGTACGTGTGAGTTTCCTTCCGCCATCGTCAAACCAGGATGTTACCAACTCAAGTCTAACAGACAATTCCACTACAGCGACTCAAAGTATCCACCCAACAGAGATTTTCAAATCAAACCAAATCCAAAACCTTTTGTGGTAAAACGATAGCTACATGTATCTCGGGTGGTCACACATCTATGCAGAAAGCTACAGACAAGACAGGGGCAATTTTCTAACTGACATCACTGAATAATAGATAGAGTAATATCCCACACTACCTGGATAGAGCTCTTCCACTGGTCACGGAGGTAGATAAAGGACTTAGGGACCGCAAGAGACCAATGAAAGACTGCCATCCTCGATAATATGCAAATGAGGTGGCCTAACCAATCTTGCCAAATTGTCATAACTGATGAAATGAATCCAGGAGACGGCAAACTAATGAAGTTTTCCTACGTCATTCTCGACATCATGTTCATTATAAATCTTGTTAGTACAGCACAAGATGTAATAAATCGATTTCGCTGGATCGGAGCCCGTACAAAATTGCAACGTAAGTGGATTTTCCACGAAACCCTCTCAACAGAAGATTTTCAAAACACGATCCTCAAATAGCTCGAACGAAATCAAATTGGGGAGAAATTCTGACACTTGCAGATCCAAGATTTGATTTAGAAGAATTCCTGAGATTAAACACCCAACTGGTGACACCTTTTCTTGGAACAAAAATGGACGACCAATCTTTAGGGACTGAAGCAATCTCGGAGAGTGCATCCAGCAATTCAATTAGAAGCAAAAGTCACTAAATCAGTCAGGAGGAGAGCTACAAGGGCAATTCCCCAGCCAGTGAAGTATTCCCAGTACATTCATCTAAGCTCTACTAACTCCAATTAGCAGCTACGAGACTGCAAATGGGAACATTTATCTGGCTCTTGATGTGGGAAAGAGCAACATGAAGGAACATTACAGAAGCAAAAAGCTGGGAAACCAATTACATCACTTGTGTCATTAGGCAAAGACAAGGGGACAACCGCGACCTTGGAGTGGCTGCTGTGATTTTCCACGCAATTAAATCCTGACAAACGACACGATTAATCAACCAACCAAACAGACCCCAGATTTTTAGACCCGATTTACACACTCAAAAACTGCGATCATCAAATTTTTAGTGCATAAAAATAAATCAGTCTGCTTTGAAGTACATACAGACAGACAAGGACCTTGATGGCTGGTTGGAAATTTGACGTACATGTACAGGTCTTTGCCTGCATCTACACCGAGTCTTAGTATGCATCTAGTTACAGCTGCCAATATGTTCACTTTGTAGACAATATAAAAACTTTGTGCTGTTGCAGGTATGTTTGCGACTTTAGTAAACGTAATTCTAAAGTCTAAGTCTTTTCTCATTGTTTCCTTCACTTTTGCACACATAAAAGGAAAAACAAGGAAGTCTAAACAGTAAAGTTTCCAGTGATATACACACAAAACATCCCTAATGGCCCTGTCAATCCACAGCACGCTGACAAGTCATACACACACGCTGAGACAATTCAATTAAAAATGGCAACCCTTGCCCTCACACGACCCCGAGACCTTACAACTTGGTTTATAAGATTTACTCCTTGAAGAGGCAAGTCTTCTGGGTCTGACAGGTGCGAGGCTGGGGTGGGAGAGTTTGGATTAAAAGCTTTTGTGGAAGAGATTTCCCACGTCTGTTTTAAAGCTACCTGAAAGGCAAGGTCACCCTATATAACCTGAAATGGCTTAGCAACAAACAGATGGATATAAACAATTTGTCTTAGCTCCTCTACACACAGACAAAAGTGAACTTTGTGCAGAGTTAACTGAAAAGAATAGCAAATCCTTCAATGTAAAAAAAAGCAACAATTTGCTAAAAGTTTATTGCCAATGTCATAAAAAAGAGGAGTAAGAAAGCTAGGTTGGTGGTAAAGCTAGAAAGTTTTCGCCCCCCCCCCTCCCCCAAATTAGAACTTAGTCATGAAACCTTTTTAATTTTTGACCTTGGCTGATTCAAACACTGCCCTTGACTAGAAAATTGCCAATTTGTCACACTTTCCTTTTTGGCCTTGCCATACTTATAGAGACAGCGTAGTAAATAAAAGGCATACAACCTCAACCTCAAAGCATGTCATTCGACATGCAATTCAATCAAAAGTCCATCCCACAGACACTAATGCAATCAATGGAGAATAATAACTCCTGATGAATGAAAACTGCTTCCGTGACCTTCCCTTCAAATATCAGTAAGGAAACGTTATGATGTACTGCTTGTATTACCAGCTATGCAGGATTCAATTTGGCACTAATCCATCGTTTCATTTCCACATCCAATGTCATTTTCACTGGTCACCAGGTCCTGAGTTCGCATGATGACATATGGCTCTACAGCGTGCAGTATGTCAGACTTTGCTGCAAGTGTTCCATGACGGTCGAAAGTTTCCCAACACTGAGATAATTCTGAACTTTGAAAAGACGTTTGCAGCAAACAGATTGTTATAATGCCATCTATCATTCATAGCACAAAGTGCCACAATAGACAACCTATTGTATTCACTTCAACCAGACACATCCTAACAGTTTCCGATTACTTTCAGAGCCACATAGACCGAAAACAATGCTTACAGGTATGATGTTGCCTTGCTGCATTGTAACAAGTCTTTCTTTAACATGCATGAATCTTTTATGTTTGACTGTATCGATATCCTCAATCAGGATACGTAAACAGTATTACAGACAAAATCTTACTCGGTTAATGGCAGATACCATATGGAGCCGGAAGTTATCATCAATATTATAGTTTATCCTCAATATAAGAGTCCAGTAAACAAGGGCCCATTACTCTAATTTTCCTCTATTAGTCTAGGAAAGCAATTATGATGTAGACTCCGCTATTTCCACATCAACCTCTCCATTGCTATGCAACAAACACTTCAATGGCTTCCTTAATAAGCCATACAGAAGAGGTGGGATGATTTGGGAAGAGGGCATCAGGCTCGGAGACATCATTCTGCGAGGCAGCCAGACTGGCGTCTGCAAACGGATGCCTTCTGAAGCGTTCTGATGAAATGTGGAGACTCATAATCCATGGCTTGTGGCTACGTGAGTGCCATTTGGCCCAGGTCACGTACAGGTCATACCCTGTCTCTTATAAAACAGACTCACCCATTCATACATAAGACACTACAGGGTTTCGACAAGTCATGTTTTCTGTGTGAGACTAGGTTGCCTGGTATGAAAGTTATAATTTTGTTGTGACCTTTTAAAACTTTACAGTGGCCCAGCTTACGGCTTTTGAAATACACTGTATGATCCTGCCTCAACCAGCATGTGAGCAATACTTTTACAGGTGGCCTGGCTTACAGCTTGCCTTCTAAAATAAACAGCTGGTGTTGATGGCAACCTGAAATATTGACAGGCAACCTAGCTTTGGTTTAGGTTGTCCAGTGGGCAACCTGAGTGAAAAACTATCTCGAAACCCTGCACTAGTTCTAAAATGAACTGACTTACATTAGTGGTGAGCTGGGTGGACAGAGTGGCAACCTTCTCCTGAGACTGGTCCAGTTCTCGTCTCAGCTTCCGGATCTGTGGCAAACGAAAGGACGTTCCTCACATGTTAGATAAACTACAGACTACACAAGACATGCAGGATGGTACATAGATACTCACTTCATCTGGAACTTTTGCTGAAAAGTTTTGGAGGTTGAGGGATCTGAGTTTTAGGAACTTTAAAGTATTTTATCTTGACATGTTCTAATGGAAAACTTCTTTCAGCATTGTGAAACCTGCTAAAATTGGCAAAAAGAACATGTTCAACCATTGAAGGTATACAACAAAGTTTCATTCAGTGACTTTCAATACCTGTACATTAGACATTAACCTTCTTCATGCTGTACACCATCTTTTTAGCAAACTTGAGCATGGAGAAGGTTAAATGATAACAAACACGTTCTTCACATAATCACAAATGAATCTACAATAACAGACAATATGTATCCATGGAAATTGTTGCAAGTTTTATAGTGGTTAAAAACACAAAATGAAGTGTGTAACGTTATTAGCATCATGAGCATATGTAGCAGGTTGCTATGTGGTCATCTAGTCAAATAAAGAGGCATGTTGCAAAAGCCGTTATTAGTAGCATCAAAATGCAAAAAGCAGGCAGCAACAAAAGAAGTGCACCCCACCAGCAAAACCTACGTCTAGTCATTATTTTGGTAGACGTTTTAAAACCTGGGATATACAAAAATGAGGAGGTAAAACGACGGCCTTCCACCAGCGATCCAGTGCAAAAGAAAAACTGCAAGTTATTAATCATTATTGTTATTAATTCTGGTAAATAATTGGACATGCTGAGGCAAGGTGAAGTTCTTTACCATGTAGGGGCCTCTTACAGTCTGAATCTGAAAATACAACCAGCAACAATTGGAATTAGGGACTCCATTGGCCAATCACCTTTCAATCAAATGTCATATACAACAGGTGGATCATGAACTTCACCTGTCAATCACTGGCTAGCTGGGATGTGATTGGTTCATTAGATTTAGGCCTTTCAATTGTATATCAAACATTATACATTACTGTAAGGGCGTGATCTGTCAATCATTGGTCACCTGGTTTGTGATTGGTTGATGCGGACACCTGTAGAGCATACTTTATTTTCAAGATGGAGCATGACAATCTCACCGTTCCTATTTTTAGACCAATGGCTTCACCTTTTAAAGATTGCCTCAGCAAAAATGTGACAACATTTCACTTATTATTTCATGTACAGTATGAAAGAAAAGTCATATACACATGAAGAAGTCTGACATTATTTCTGATGGGTACACCGTTATGAACATATGGTGAAAAAGCATTTTGTTAATTTTTCATCAGACTTGCACTGCTGATTCTACATGTAAAAGCCTCTACAAAAGACTGACATTGCTTCTACTTTCACACAACAGCTAGTTTTTGAATTGTTCCATTTCAACAATGATGGCTACCTGCACTTTTTGGTTTATCATTGTGTATCCTACCCATCTATCAACCAGTCCACATCTACAGTCATTTCTACCTTTGGAGTTTTTCTGCCCCTCCCCCTGCCAGGGCTGACTCAGTGACTGACTTTAGGTAAACTGCAAGGTCATTGAAGGTCAACAGGGCTTTGTCCGTGCTCTTCTGTGCCTGCTAATCATTCGACTCGCTCCCAGAGGTTACAATGAGAGGTTTGGACAAAAGATTTGCCGACAGATCTGTTACGAAGTGCTCTGTGTATACAGTTTTGAAAAGACGCTTGGCAATGGCTGTTCCAGACACAGAGATGCCCCAAAAGAAAAGTTGGGAGGAGGGTGGGGGGTTGTAAAAAAAAGAAGCCACTGCCCTTCAGTTTGTCCCAGAATAAGCACAGTATCATCAAATGTGGGTGATGAAGGGATTATCTTGAACATCTTAATAAGGATAGAGGGGCAATTTTATGTATCTCTGACATTTAATCTGATTAGTATGTAGATATTTAAATTGCGTTTCTTTTTTAAAGCACTTTGAGCTGTCCCAGAGAGAAACAGAGGTCACAGATGGGCACAGAGGTCACGCTGGAATTCTCTTGACAGAGAATTTTATATCAAATAAATATGCAGAAATTCTTTCTTTGTTTGAAGATTTGACATCAGTCAGGGTAAAAAGAGATGGATGGATTGTGTTTATATAGTCATGCTCCCAAATTATTTTTGGAACATTTGTACAAAAGACTGTCATACCATTGTTTATGTATGTATGAGAGTAGATCACTTGTAGCCTGGTTACCAAACCTATTGTAGCTCACGAGTCCTACATCCTCTCCACAAATACTTGAAGTAGAGAAAATGTACAGGACTCGGGAGCTATAATAGGTTCGTAACTAGGCTAGACCACTTCCAATAGCACAAAGCTCCACACATGCAAACCTCACCAACTTATGATCTCATCTCTCACACAAAACAGCCCTTCACTCCCCTGCCCTTTCTTCCACTTGCCAAGCTGTTACAGTAATTCACCAAGAACTCCCATTCACTCATGGGATCGCTCAAAGCCCCCACTTGTATCCTAGCTTTAGGGCAGAATTTGGCAGTGGCATAGCTCGCATGACTCTGTGACATTGAGGCCAGGCACAACTCTTTGTGCCTCTAAAGCCAGCTTGATTCAATATTTGTCAAAGGTAGCATTAGAGGACGGAAAGCTGGCAAAGTTTAGATACAGATAATGGTGAAAGGTGGTGAAAAGACACAATGGACGGTAATCCTGGCAAGATCTCGGTAGTTTTGCACGTGTATCGTTTCTGAGCTTGGTCACAGGTGGCAAAGACTTCAAATCGCTTTCCCACGAAAATTTGAGCTGTCAAAAATTATGAAAGGAGCACCTGGCAAAGTACTCGTACCTGATAACAGGAAATGAGCTTTTCCGTCTGTTATTTCTACAGAGTAACAAGTGATTTTTTCTGGTCATGAACACCTGTTGCTTCAGTACTAGGAAGATTATGAGCTAAAAATGAATTTGAAGTCCTAGCTTAAAATTGAACTGAAGCTCTAAAAGCTGCAACCATTTCCATTTTGAGGATCTCGAGAATGGTATGCAGAGAAAACAAAAATAGTTCTCAATTCTATATGGGAGGAAGTTCCAGATTTATTTTGGATCAAACTAAAAAAAGCTCATTAACAGGAGGCCCCTCTCTCCAATGATTTAGGAATGGATTACCGAGTCCAAAGGTTCCATGCTAGGGCAGCCTTAAAAGTGTTGGAAAGATCTAATCCCTCAAATCCTCCTATCAGGTGCTAATCCACGTAAATGGGCCTGATGCTCATTTGCATAATCTGCATAATCCGATTTCAAGCCTGACAACCATATGTGCTCAAGAGGAGCACAGTTATTAGTCAATAGACATGACAAAAAGAGTGGAACGACCTTCACAAAAAACTGAAGGTCAAGGCATAGCTGTAAATCTTAAGTTTGCTCTTCAGGGCCTAAGATCTTGTCAGAGATGTCAAGTCAGATTTCAGTGATCGAAATACTTTTTTTCAGTATTCTGCAATGTTACAGAATGTCAAAATTTTGTCAGAAATACATTTGAGCAAGGAGGCAATCTTTGTCCGACTGAAGTTGTCTACCATTACTAGAGAGTTCAGCAGACACTTTCCCTCCACCATCCATCATTTTTAACCCTCATAATTACACTGACCTGTCAGACCAATTGCCAAGCTCCATCCATCAACAATTTGAACTAGTTTTTAACCCACACTCCACAGGATATTGAATTTTTAACTCACTTTGTGTGCAAGAAAAATGTATCACGCATTTGACATTGACCTCTTCCATCTGTAACTAGTTAAACACTCCAAAAAAATTTCAGCACTGTTTCATAACTCAAAAACTCTCTATTTAGAAAAAGTTAAAAACGAAATGTCTATATTTGTAGAAAATTAGTCTCTACCAGACTAACTACGCTGGCTATATATTCTCAGAACATTTGCCAGGCCCAGGGGAGTTTGGCTGGCCTGACTCCCTTGGCCAATTTTACTCTCTTTTTTTGCCGAATTCTACGAGCCATATTCCCGTCGAAAGACCTGGTGGAGGCTACTAGAAAATAAATTCTGGTTCAAATGAACCCTGGACAGAACAGGTGTGATAATACACCCCAAGGGTACTGAATTTTTCATCTTGCATGGTGGTCCCCAGAACTCAACCATGACCGTGATAACCAACACTGACGTTTTGCGTGACACCATCTGGGCATTTCTCATGCCTCAGCGACTTTCTAAAGTTCTTTTACAACACAATAAATCCACCTCCAGATTGAAAGTACTCATCATTGTGCTTTTACCTGGCTAATATCATTTTGTTTGTAAATTATTCATTTAGAAGCATGGGGTACAACCCCCAAAGCTGTTCCTAGGTCTGAAGGTCATGTTCAAACATGTGTTTTCTTGACATTACCACATAAAATTGCCCTCTAACAGCCCTGTGTAATTCCATGGTATAATAATGCTCACTACTGTTCATTTCTTTAGAAGTAAAATGCCAGTACATGTACTTTACTACTGGCAAAGTGTAACATCCAAAATGGATAGAAACTAAAAGTTTCTTCGACTGTAAAAAAGCTAAACGGCTCAGCAATGCCAGCATCCCACAAAGTCTATCTTTAGAGGGGCAATCATTGAATCAAACTTTTTCACCTCCATTATGGAACTGACATCTTTCATCTACAGAGTTTTTTATGCTCTTCCGTTTCCATAGGGGATCCTGTCACTTGTTCAAATATAATATGGCAATACATTAACCTTTGAACAATCATCTATGGGCCTAGGATGTTCTTTTCCTATCATTCCTTTATCTTTGTTGTATCTGTGACTTCACTGGGTTTCTCATTTCATAATTGGGGTCTACAAGAAGTATAGCAAAACCCTTTTTTCAACATTTCCTTCTAAAACAAGTTGACATCCTTCACGAATGCCATTAACCCCTTTGTCACCCTAATGCTCCTAAGAAGGTCCTTAGACAAAACCTGTTGCTGGAATCCATTACTTCTGTGAAAGGCCTTCAGATGGAGTTTTGTACTTTTCCAGGAGACATGTCTTGACACTAATTACAGAAGGCACATTTGTCTAGCCGCTGCCAAAAATCATTTTTCCTTTCAAACAACCTGCACAAAGGGGATTCTTTTATGTAGGGCTTTCCAATAGGACATTCTGACTTGTAGAGAACTACTATTTTCTTTCTCATGTTTCTTTTCTATATGTTTAATCAGTACATGGTCCAGTGGGTTTGCAGGATTTTGCTGCCTGGATATTTGCATTACTTTCTGCCGAGTACAAACAGTGGATGAAAGAAAGCCAAATGGTTATCCCATTTCTTCTCTTACAAGCACTTGGTAGCCGGCTGATAGAAAGCCATTTATTCCAGCCCAGTGCAGAACTCACAGTTTGTAAAGACTCAGACAATACAGACGACCGTGGCTATACATACCTCCTGCTCTTTCTTGTCCTCCGGCTGTAGAAAACAGAAAAAAGGCAAGAAAATTAGCGAAAAGTCTCTCTATAGAAGGCCAGGTGCAGGTAGTGACATTTGACCCAGTTTAGAGACTGTTGGTCAAGAGAGAAACATATAATTTCCTCACAGTGTGCCCAGTAATCTGGGCATTTTTTTTGTGAAAGGTGGAATTTTTTTGGATATTGTAATTTCTTGTGGCACCAGACAGATGCCAGGTTAACAATTGAATAGAAATAGGTCAGTCTACAGTCCTGGATAGCATCTGCATCCAGCTCTATTACAAAGTAGGACTTTTTGTGATAATCATTTTAAAAGCAAGCCTTTGAAAAGAACCTAAAATATTACTTTGTAAAATTTGTTCACAATTATGTAGTAGCAAATAACAATGGAATGAATAGTCAAAAGTGTTTTTGACTGAAATACATGATACTTTACAGAAAGAAATGCAACTGACAATGACTGAATAAATGCAAACATTCTAATAATAGACATCAATTCTTAAAAGAACAAAATGAACAACAATGCAACACATACAAAGCAATATATACATGCATAACACAGTCCACAATTTTCCATGCAAAGCAACAAATATCCATAAACCAAAGTGAAAAATTTGTCACCTCAAGATCAAACTCAGGCTGCATAGATAAAAAGAAAGAACAAAGAGACAAAAGCAACAGTTTGTAAACAGCAGATTAGTAAGAAAAATGAGGACAATAACAACTTCAGGAATTTGCACCTTTTCACACCCTATTGTTAAGTGTGACACAATAGGATTAGAGTGAATGTAGCAGCAGATTGTGCACAAGATGGTTGGGATAATTAGCCCAGGGTGGGGGAGATTAACTGCTGATTAACCGGCACCAATTAGCCACAGTCTGGAGGAAAGATAGCTTCCAATTCACACACCAAAATTACAACAGACACAAACCAAGTGATAGATGTCTAATCATGTCTTGGATGAAAAGATATTTCTTATAGATTTTTAACATGGAGCATTCTACTTACATTAGTACAATATCATTTGCAAGAAAGATAACTAAAATATATTGTGAAGGAGGATTTTCTAATAATTCTACATACTAGTACCACAGATACACCAATGACACCTAATTTTGATACACCAGTAACACCTTTGTGATACACCAGTAACACCTTTTTGATATGAAAGCTCAAAGAAGTCCCTACCCTTTGAACACCCTACCATATTCATAGCCTTCCAATAAACACAAAGGTTTGATGCGAAAATCACAAGAAACATAAAATGGAAAATTTTCACCCAAACCAGATGGTAAAATCCAAATACCATGTTGACGGAGCTGTCAGCAGTTCCTGGTGCATTGAGCCACAGTAACCACTGGCTAAATGTAAGCTTGTTTGAACACAACAAAACAAGAACAACAGGACTTCTTGAGTGGAAAAATAAAGCCTTGTTGCCGCTGTCTTCGAGGGCTCTTTGTGTAGCCGTGCTGCCTCACTGGAGCCGAATCACAAATAATGGAGCAAATGGAAAAGACGGGGAGACAATGACACTGCGCGGAGAAGTGTCTGAGTTTTTATCTCAATAACATCTGGTCAAAAGATGCACAGACTTTGTTATAACAAGTGTTGGGAGCTGGATAGACAATTTCATGGCTAACTAGCCCTGAAGTAAACTCTGCCAGCAGAAATTCTGACTCCACCCATATAGAAGAAGCCAACCAAACTGTAAATAAATAGAGGGTAGCACCATGTGACCAAATCTGGAAATGATAAAGAGAGGGAATTCCTAGCCCGAGCTGGCATGCAAGGATGGCCCATCACTCACGGATTTAACATACAATCACAGAAATACCTTGACACAGAAAACAAACATGCTCTATCATAGGCAACTTTGGGTCTACAACACACAACAGATGGTTGCATGATAATGAGTGAACCTTTACCTCAGACAGGGAAATCCCTACCCCGACCACGTGCATGATTTTGCCTCACAAAATCTCTGGCAAAATTTCTCCTTGCTCTCTCTCTCTCTCCTTGTGGCACCCCTGACTTGGCAGTGCAGTGTCACCCCCTTGCCAAACTAATGCACCACAGGTTGTGATAGATGGTGGGGATAGAGCAAGGTTTTAATCCGCATGACAACAGCTCCAAGCTGATTGGTCAACACTTCAAAAACCTCTCCTCCCACTTTGGAATGGAACATTCTACTTTCATCCTAGGGGGACACATGACTTTTTTTACGTTCCTGATACTGAGTGATGGAACATTTTTTGCTTAGTAATAAACATTATCATACCTTTTCATATGATCTTCAAGTATCAAATTTTGTGTGGTGACGTCACCATTTGTAAAAACGAACATAATTGACAAGCATGATGCTGGCATCCTGCACATCCCTATCATACATATGCATGCCCTTGTCCTCAGGAGAATGCCCCTTTATCAGGGCTCAGATTACCTGATCCCTCAACACCTTTACCTGGTAACATCCCTCACACAATACACCTGTCTGCGGTGCTTGCACGTGGGACCAGACTCCATTGTACCTCACTGACACCCAATCCCCCCAGAACATAAGGGAATGGGCTGGGCCCTTTTTTTATGTGTCTGTGGTAATTTTTCTTACAAAGAGGGGGCTTTGAGAATTTTTTTGTCCCATGTGGTGCTTACAAGAGCCTACTCCGAGGTCAAACAAGCAATTTGATTATATGGTACAGTATCATATGACAATATCAATTTATAAAGCCTATTCATTTTCAAACAAAATTTTGGAAAGGCGACCTTGATACAGTTAAGGTCACTCAAGGACATGTGTCATGTCGGACGATTAACGCTAATTTCTGGCTAAAAAGTACAGAAAGACGTATTTACACTCAAGGTTAAGGAAAAGGATGTTCTTAATCTTTTTATCTCAGAGGGGGATGATCTAATTATAGGAAAGGCCGGGTATATACCTTGTAGAGTATTACGGGCTTATCGAATGCAACATTCAAATCCTGCCAATCCTTCCCTTTTTCAATGCTTTGTGAGAATTTGGGCTTATTATGTGCTCACGGATATCCTGTCTTTTATTGAACAAAGGATCTTGTATTTCAAACTGAAATACTGTTCCATTGTTGAGACAAACGTGCATTTCGCTTTGTTCTCTGTGCACCTGTGTCAGTCATAGTTGTCCAACAACAGAATACCATGAACTATTTTAAAACATTGTAAAAACCAAAAGGGGCGAGCAGGTCACAACCGGGAATCGAACCCGAGTTGTCCGCTTGGCGGTCACCAACGCTAACCACTACACTAAAAGGTCGCACGACTGTTTAGCATGGTCAGTTAGCACTGTTACACTACTCCCCCTTTTCTTTCAAGATTCGTCCTCGAATCTTCCGAGTCCGAGTCCCTGGAGCTGCCACACTTATCCTCAGTGCCAGTACTCACAGGGCCCACATCGGGCGCCACTGTAAAAACCGAAAGGGGCGAGCAGGTCACAACTGGGAATCGAACCCGAGTTGTCCGCTTGGCGGTCACCAACGCTAACCACTACACTAAAAGGTCGCACGGCTGTTTAGCATGGTCAGTTAGCACTGTTACAACATTACTGTGTAATTTAGTAGAGTGATTGTTTAGTACATTGTATAGTGCTTCGGCTAACAACGAAAAGAGACAATTGAGAATCATGTTGTCTCAGTTTGCAGCGATGATGGTAACAATTTGGCAGACAATTCTTAAAATTGCACAACAATTTTTCCAGCTTTCAGTAGATCACAAAACGACACTGTTACATTACGCACACACTCTGGTTTATCATCGGTTCAGTCCCACGATCATTTTCTGAACCCCGCCTCAACAACACATTACCCAATCTCTGAAAAAAATCTAACTCTAATTCATTTTGACAGGAACAATTACTGTGTAGTAGGAAGGCTGATGAACACCTTGTACCCAGATGTCACTTCCCTACAGCCCTATCACACCTGGGAAACCCTTATGACTTCCTGACTGTAACAGATATGAGCTGATAGGAAGTCCTACAGGAATAGCTGAATGTCTACCTGCTGTTCATCCCTTATCTGCTTTTATCAGCTCATCCTGAACTAGTTTTAGCCTGCCTTTTATTGAGGAACATCTTATAACCTGTCTGCTTACTTTGATTTTGACCTTTTTGCCGATGGGAGAATAACAAAAAAGAGACTGTGGGAAACTGACAATAATAAGAACCTAGTTCAACATATCCACAAGTTGCAGTGTGACTTTTTCATTTTGCAAGCTGAACACTTGTTGCAAAAATCCTATGACAGAAAAGCCAAACTTGTATTCTTTTACACTTTAATTTTAGGCTAGAAAATTACCATAAGATCCACTTTTAAATTTTGTTTGCATCAATTTTTCCATCCTTGTCTATGTGTGTACCAGTAGTAGTAGTATGAAAACTTTGCTGAACACGAACAATGTACGGAAATCACAGAAATTCAGCCTCAGGCTGTTTGTAAACAAGTCTTTTGTGTCAGGTGGAAGAGATGGATTAATCACTGATGACCATAATGACATGTAATGACCTGCAGTCTGGACCTACACTGTACCCCCATAAGTGAAATTTCTACTCTCGGACTCCAAGCAGAGGTTGTGGGGGAATGATCGTTAGCTTTTTATATACGGCCATTGTTGTTTTTTGTCGCTACCTTCTCTGGCTAATGGATACTGCTTGGCCAATTAGATACTGTCTTTTTGCCACCGAGAGGGATCTGCTTGGAGATTAGAAATTTCACCTACTAAGTATCAGGACCCCTCCTTTATATGGCAAACACCATAATGCACTGTTACACCTGTAGCTCTGACCAGTATTTGATGGTGGCAGATCAAAACATACCACTGGACAGTAATCCCCAACAACTCCACCTTTTTGATGGTTTTCTTTTCAAGTAAAGCCTTGAAACCACAGTTTGTGGGAGGCACTTGTTTGTCAAAGGTAACTAGATCTGGTAGGTATGAAGGTACCACAACACTCACATCAAATAAACAGAAACCTCACTGGTGTCTTTGCTAAGTCTCTGTCATTTTGATATAATATTCCCGGTTCACAGGTTACACAAGACTTGTAAAACATAAAGGAAAAGAAAGAAATGGGAATGGATGGATTCCGATGGAATGGCAAGGATGCGAAGAGGAAAAGAAATGGAGGATAAGTGGCAGGCAGCAAAAAATACAAGTAAAGAGAACAGCAAGTGGTTGTACCAGAAGAAAAAGGTATCTGTGAAAGGAGATACCAAGAAAATGAGCAGAGAGACACTGGAATGATGTGGGAAGAACCCATCACTCAAGCTTCAATCAGCCAACCATGATGGGCTAAATATACTGGCAGATACCTCTTGACAGTCTATCCAAGAACCCACCAGACATAACAAAGAGTTGACACAACAAGTGGGGACACATTCCAGGGACTTCCTATTTTGACCGGGGTCCTGACAGACAAGCCCCACACTGTTTGTGCTAACTGCTCCTGGGGACAGTTTGATTGACAGGAGCAGCAGGTGAGATGTTCTGCCCAGTCACAGATAACCGTCCATGACAACATGGCAGAGATGCTATCAGTGGTGGGGGAGGGGGGTTGTGGGGGTGGGGGTTGGCACACAAATAAATTTCTGTCATTTGGATCTCACTGGGTGTCAGAACCTCAGATGAAATGCCAAATCTGAATGTCCAATGATTATCTAATCTTGGAGACATAAGTTGTCATTGACTGTCATAAGTTGGCAGGTGGTATTTTGAAGACAAAGTTTTGTAAATTCAAAATCCCGAAACTTGTATATTAGTAGAATATGAAGTTTTGAATAAAAAATTATGCTGCTGTATCAATGAACTTTGCAGAAATACCAAAATATTCATTTGTCCTTATTATTTATGAACATCACCACCATAGAAATTATGGTCAAGCAAACTCAGCACAAACGGACAAGACTGTTGCATATAAAGGAACATTTCAAGTCCCACTTCTTGTTTTACTCTGTGTCCAAAAGCACAGTGGAAGCGTCTAACCAAAAAGACATTTGGCTGACCCAGTACAAACCACCTTGTTTTGGGAAATATTGCACAAATAAACACACCCACTGAAGGAAAACTTACCCTATATTGAACTTTGCTGAATGTAATAAGGGAAGTGAGAGAGTGAATAAAGGAAGGGGAAAGAAAAACTTTGTTGAAAGGCCACCTTGGTTGAACGCTGACTTGTGTTTATTGCTTTGTTGAAATACAAAACCAAGCTACTATTTTGGAAAAAACTCTGGGGTCTGTTTTAAGCTACTTGGTCTAAAAAAAACATACAATCACCAAAAACCACTTCTTCAATAAAGTTACTTTTCTCAAAAGCAGTCAAATTAACTAAAAAATTTTAAGGAAAAAAGTCTGTTTCATGTGTCATTGATATTGTATAGAAAGGTGACTTTGTATATTGTCTAAGTGTACTTGAACAGTCACCATGCATGAATGTAGCCACTACAAGAAAATAAACAAGACTTCAACTGGCAGACTTAAGGAATACTTCTGTCTTCTACTGTCTAGAGAAGACAGGCATTTTTCCCTAGCGACCACTTCACTTTCTGTGGTGAAAGAAAACGGCACATAGTTTGAATAGTTGGTGGTATAGAAAGGCGACTACAGAGATATGTCATGCCAGCAGCAGATTTGCACAATAAGCTCTTTGTAAATTCCACAAACCTTCCGTACAAAGTGACTACACTTTTCGGCCAAAAGTTTAGGCTTTTGTTCTATTGAAAACCTTCTTGCAGGGTTTTTAGACCTATAGAGCTGAGGGTAGTTTATAAAAGAAGCTGTATATTTTATGTTACCTCTCAATATTACATGTCAACAAAATCGTATCCAACATTCATTCTTGCAAAACATTTCTTTCATAGATTTACAAATCACCTACTTTAGCTCCTTAGTCTTTCATATTTGCAGAGATAATGTTATGCTTTTAGTGGAATTTTCTTTAAAAATTTCTATTCAACTTGTTATAATTTTGATACTCAGCAGATTCAAATGTTCTTTGAATCCCCAAATCTTTCAGGAGAAGAAAAGCAACTGCTATCTCCAAAAAATGTCCGGTATCAAAATTGTAAGACGTGTAAGTTTAAGAAACAAGAGGTCTCAGAGGCAAAATCTTATCATAGTTCCTACACTATCAACCTGGACAAGACCTGATCCAGATTTAGCCTCTGCTTCTCATTTAAATCTGCCCTCTGAAAACTTTCATCAACTGACAGTATCTCATCTTATCATACAGTTTGGGAGCCAGGGCGAAACTGGATACACTTGACAAAGTGGGGGTGTAGACATGCCAGCTATTAGATCTATTTAAAACAGTGTTCTACAGGTGTCAGTGTCAAGGTTAATGATAAGATAGTGGGAGGGGGAGGGGGGAACACCACAGCTCCTAACCAGAGGTTATTATGATATCAAAGCTGAGGAAACCTCAATTTTTCAACCTGTCAAACTTCTAACAGTTATAAACAACTGCTTTTCTGCATCACTGCACATGTCAGGTTTCATTTGCTTTGTGATTATCCACAACCAAATGTTGCTTCTGCAGTTACTTCAACCTTGTTTGAATTATAACACTGGAAAAGCAGCAGTAGCAACACTCAAAGATATATTAGGACTCTGCAGCAAGAGATTGAACAGACAATCTTTGAAAACAGTACCAAACTCCTCTAGGCTAATCCTATACCCTCCGGAAAAGCTGAACATTCTTGGAGTTTTCATGTAATCCCTTGTTAATCTTTGCTTGCAGTCAGCAATTAACGGGGCAACTTATTTTTTTTTCAAAAGTTAAAGACTATTAGGAAATCACGAGATATTTTGTATGTGTGCTATGGGAAAATGGGAGATAAGGCTTGGAAAACACACTCACATGATGTCAATCTGACTAAGTATAGAGAGGTAGTGGTCCAGGCATTTAATTGGTTATATGTTATGCAAACACTACCCAAAGTATGATACTGTTTTACTCAGTTTGTGTAAAAAAAAATAGTAGTTTGTATCACCACTAGGACTTGGCCTATGATGCTTCAACAATGAAGAAATGATGCTGTAATGAATAGGACAAACTTGATAAAACAAAATTTTGTTACTTTTTTGGATGGGATCTACCTCATCAACTCAACATTCAGAGGGTTTTAGAGTGAGGAGGACTGTTTTCCCTCTGTCAGTGACTCAGTAGATTTCAACAGACAAGACAGGAAAATATATCAGGAAACTCTAGACCTCTGACAGTTCAAACCACTAGATTATTGGCTCCATTTGGACAGCTGTTCTTCTCTTGTCCTCAGAGTGTAAAAAGCGATCCTGAAAGTTTTCAACAGGTGGAAGGGAGAGAGGAGAGCCTTGTTACCGCACTCTTGATAGGATCAGGGGTCAAGGGTTCAAGTCCCATGTAAAATCAGATAATCCTGGGGGTGTGGTAAAGAGATGTGTCTGGGGCTCAACATTCTTACTGATTAAAAGGGTGCTACGTGCAAAAATCCGTTTCTTCCCTACCTCACATGACTGAACAAGAAAATAAAAACCAGTTAGATTTAAACCTTTAAAATGTTGAGTGATTACTCATTTACTATTGACAAGGTGTACTGTAAAGTGTAATAATAAGTCTGTACTCAAAAGTACACAAGAGTACAAAAGAAATCAGGAGAAAGAGAACACAATAGAACTACTAGAATAGGAAGTTCAATGCCTGCACTCAAAGGTTGGAGTCAAGACTGCAGTGGTTTAAAGATCAAGGTTATATTGGCAGGTGGAGACTGACTTCTGGTATTTCAGATCAAAGTTAGCATCCTGGGGGAGAGAACAACTGGCAAAACTTCAGTACTTTGGCCAGGAGTAAACAAGGGAAAAGCAGACAGTGAAAAATACAGGAATGCTGCCTGGAACAGAGGAGCAGCTAGGACAAGTTTTATCTAACAAGATGATTGTTGAAAGTGGTTAAACTATAAGGAGGATAAAATTCAGTTTGTGGACATTGCAGATAGATGGGAAAAGATGAAGACAGAGTTTTCAATACCATTTCTCCATCACTATGAGTCTGAAGACCTCATCTAGCACTGGCTTCTACAAGAATGGTCACATGGTGCTACACAAGGTAAGTAAAAACCCTTGCCCATTTCGCGAGTATATTCATACAGTTTTCCATCAAATAACAACTGAAAAGGGATACCTGGCCCCGAGAAGGAAGTACAATATGTTTCCTTTTCAATACAAATTCAGGACTTTTCCTCTCCTTTAAAAGTTTTACAAGTGTGGTTAATGAACATGACATGACTTGCACATAGGTTAAGACATTGCAGTACTTAGTAGAGATAGGTTAGATAGAATAAAGTTGAGTTTTTGTCAAAAATGAAGCATGAGTTACGATACATCAGAGAAATGATCAGGCCTTACCGTGGAGTAGATGGACGATGAACTTGAAACCAAGGACAGGTTGGATCCATGCACTGGGGATTGAAGAAGGACAACAAAGTTAGCACTTTATTGCTGGGATTGCTGCAATTCAGGCAACTTCCAGTAGAGGCCCCCATTGAACACACTTTTATAAACTGCACCTGTACATGAACAAATGCTAGTTCATGTACATCCCAGTCCTACATGTATGATGTATGAGTACAGTACAGTAGGTGATCAATATATTTCATCTGATAGTTTTTTCAGTATAACAAGGATTTCACTTGATTCCAAATCAACTGAGCAGTTACAGAGAAATGAAGGTTAGTAAATCTTTTAGTTTTAAAAGCAAATGACACTTACTTTCATCTGCGTCACTGTTCTTCCTCCGCCTCCTTTCGTCCAATGAAATGCAGCTTTGCCCGTCTCTGAGCCTTCCTGGTGGGCCGACCCCAGGGTAGGGGCCGGCGTATCCCGGACTGGAGACGGTACTCAGCCTGCTCATGCTCATAGAAGACGGTGAACTTGTCATCGTAGCAGGATCCACCGCTGTTAGGGGATAGGTAAATCGTGAAGATCCCGCGCTAGCTGTCGACATGGGGGAAGTCGGTGTTTCCGCCACATACGGCTCGCTTGTTTCAGGCACAACGTTGCTATAAGAGTTTGACCGAAGCCACGCAGAGGTCTCCTCGTTCAAGAACCTCTGGTGGGGGTTCGTGACGTAACACTGTTCTGAGACGGTAGAGCGGAGGCTGTTGGACCTTCCTAGTGGGATTCCTCCTTGGCTGACGTTCAGTCCGTCCCGTGAGAAGCGATGAATCCCGCGTGAATGCGAGCTCGCGCTTGTTGTAGAATCGATCGACTCGTGGCTGCCGCCGTGAGACATGCTTCCCATGGAACCAACCTTACCGCCGCCATATTGGGCCCACGGGCTGGACGCACTGGAATGTTGAGAGGTGACGCTGGACGAGGAACGGTAATGGTCGTTGCGGAATCCCGGCACACCGGGGATGTACGTTGCCGTGCACATCCCCTCGGTGTCGTTGGCACTTGACGAAGGGGCGTTCGGCTCCTTCTGTTGCTTCTCCTGCTGTACGGGAGAGTCCCTCTTGGCCTTGGCCTGGCTTTCGAAGGTAGCATGTGGGTTGGAAATGATTGTAGTATTCTTCATGTTCTGTGCTGTTGTTACCGGCTGCTGCTTGGAGGTGGATCCCCGAATCCCGAATATTCTCTTCAGGGTTGGCGACGAGATGTCGGGGTGCTTCGACTTTGCTTTGTCCTTGACTTCTGAATCAGACATGGCTGCTCTTGGCTCCACCGGTGGTGCGGTGTCTGTTTTCTCCGACGCGCTGCTTGGATGGTCGGTTTTCTGTGCTGTGCTCCCACCAGGCTGAGCAATCGAATTCACCCTGGAGTCGGTACTGGCTGTACTGCTGCCACTCAGGCGGTTCATGCTGCGCGTGGACCCAGCTGGTCCAGCAGAGCGGCCGGGACGCGGTATCCCCGCCCGCAGGTGCATAGAAGGCTTTGCTGCATCGTCCTGAGGGGTGCCTGCTTCGCTGCCTTGCTTTGGGACCATGGTTGCCCTGCCTGTTGTTTTCCCTGGAGTGCTTCTCATACTGTTGGTAGATCCCGCTGCTTGCCGACGGAACCCGAAGCTCGACGTCCCGGCAGCTTTGGCAGCTGCTGCTTTACTCTCCTGCGCTTTCTGCGCTGCGATCTGACTGGGGGTTGGGTCAGAAGACTTCTTCACCGATCTTTGAGTCTTCGGAGAGTTCTTTCCTCGGTCGTCCTGACGGGTAAGTCTGCCGCGCTGAGACTTAGGTGAGCTAGCACTGCTGCTCGCATTGCTTTTAACACTAGGGGTTGGGCTCTGTGTGTCGCTGCGTGCATCCTTCCTCCACGGAGACCTCCCAGCCAGGCTACCGCTCACGCTGGCCGAGTTCTTGATGGCGGCTGAGTTTTCGCTCTTCCGTGTCGAGTCCGTCATGTCGGATTTCCCCCTCTGCCATTTGCTGCCCTCCTTCACAGCGCCAGTCGTTCCAGCAGGTTTCGAGCTCAGGCTTTTCTGCGACTCTCTTTCCGATGGAGAATACTTCCTCCAGATGTTACTGTTACTCCCGCCTTTAGCGATGGACTTTTCTGAATCAGGCTCCTTTTGCTTCTTTTTCTTCCCGTCGACAGTGTCCTTAGGAGCTTGCCCGGCGGGAAAGTCGTAGGTGGGACCGTTACCAACCTTCTTGGCGCTGATGGGGGTCTCGGCCATGGAGCTGATGTCATCCGTGCTGATCTCGCCGATCGTGTCGCTGATGCCACTGCTGATGGAACTACTGTCATCCATGCTGGAAAACAAAAACAAAACAAGAAAACATGAATTTCTAGCAATGTTCAGATTTCTTGTAACAAAGCAACAACTAGTTTGCTCAAAGTATTGAAAATCACATGAATGCTACTTATTCTATACAAAAGTCTTGTAGTTATAGCTTGATCAGATTGTAGATTTAACATTATGTACATGTAGATACTGGCCAAGTGATACTGAGTGTGATACAACTAAATTTGAAACAACCCTAAGCACAGAAGACTATGTAACTTTGGACAATAACGTTGAAGTTGGATTGAACTTTTCATTAGACATAACATTACACTGGAATAATTGCCACCATAGAATATGGTTGCAACTACACATCTGACATGATATATTATCATTTTTATCGAAGTTCCTCTTACACCTATAACCTACATGTATATCCATAACCAGTGACTGTCGATACAGTGACTTGTATCAGACCATGTATCACTAATAATAGGACACATATTTTCACCAGTCAATATGCAGGGATAACAAATGTTCTAAAGGATGGGCCAACCCATCACAAAAATTAACACTCAATAACATTGAGTAGGTGAAAATGACATTCAGTATAAAACTGCTACACATCACATCAAGTTGTCACTATTGTAATCGTTCTGACCACAACTCAAGGTTATACAGTACACTGTACCATTAACTTGGGAACTCTAAAATCTGTACACTAGTATTTTATTCTTATAATGCATGATATTAAGTACAAATGTATGAAACATGGTTAGAAGGCACTAAAAATTGGACTGACAAAGAAAATATTAACTTCTTGTATGACAACTCTGCTGCATTTAAGTACTATATTATACTACATTGTACATGGCACATCCTTGTAAAACAAAGTAACAAGTAGGTCAACCTCTATTGAAATACTCAAGGAGCTATGGAAAACTTCAGGAGTTTATTGGAACTGCTTTTCATTTACGTTTAATCTAGCGATGTGCCAATCAGGTCATGGAGGTGATGTCCAATCACCAAAGTAACCAAACTGCCTGCCATAGAATCAATTACGGGGCGGCGGACATTACAAGCACAGTAAATGTGATTATAGGGGAGGTCAGAGGGGAGGGCCATAAATGTTGTAGTGGGGTAGATGATGTAGGTCTCAATGCACTGAACAACACTACACCACAGTTTCTCCAAATAAAATTTTCACAACTTACTTTTACAAGACTAACTAATATCAGCTTTTACTGTAGGCTAAAGTCTACTGAGTAAGATTTGTCGATGTTATATATACTTATACATACATGTAAGTAGTATATACAATTTGGCACCAAAGTCTTTGAATTCAATGTAGAATCATTTTCAAAGCAACAACTTTGAAGTAAGGATAAGAGATGCTTTCCAAAGGCAACTGGACCAAGGAGGTTAAGAAATCCTTAACAAGACCAAGAAAATAGAAAAAATTGGGAAATTTTTGAAAAAATATGACAATCTAGATCCAAAATTGACTTGATGTATCTATCACATCTATCTAACATTTCTGTACTGTATGAGCCTTGACTGTACAAGATTATACAACCAGCTTTAAAGGACAAGTTCAACAAACAACTGAAACACATCAGCATCAACTTCTCCTTTCAGACCAACAGGAAACAGTCAGTCCAGCAGCCTTACCTGACGTCTGATTTGGGAGTGAAGAAGGACTCCACCGATTGTGAGACCCCCTCCAGCAGTCCCTTCACCCGGCACAACTCCTGTCCCCAACTGATAAATCTCTCCATCTTCTGCGGGATTACTGAACGCCGCACGTAAAACTAGCGGAGATGTTCCGACCTATCACTCTGAGACACCACAAATCGACCGAAACGAGAGCGACGCCGTCTCTTTACCGGGGCACCAGGTGACGGTAGGGAACTTCTAAGCGGCCCTAAATAAATTTTCCAATAATTGGACCACATCACATTACCGATGGATTACTGTTTGGCGTCCGGAAGCCGTCAAAGGCTCAATAAAACGTCTGAAGCACTGATAAACACTGGAGGTACCACAGGGGCAGTTAGCTGCAATGGGCTGGACAAAATTGCTAAATTTACTTCAATAATTGGTACTCTGGTGTAAGATAGCTTTGCAAAGGAGAAGTGACATTAACTGTCCAAATCGGAAAGCCAATAATCCATGTGTTTTAACATTTTCAAGTTAACATTATCTAGTAGCAGCTAACAGAACCTATTTTTCACTCATGTTTTTCTTCAAAGTACAAATACTTGTGCTACCCTCAGGGTCTGAATGTGTCAGGCACTCCCCCTAGTAGGCTGATCTGGCACTGCAGCTACCTCACCAAACAATGTGAGCTAACCAAAATCAAAGACAATTTCCCGGCCTCAACATTTTATGCTGTTTCCCTGCCATCCTTTGTGGTAAAACACTATAAGTTATTCTTTTCATTTCTATAAAATGTGATTTGGTATCAGCAAAAGAGCAATTAGAGCCATAATGTTATTAAGATGGAAGATCTGAATGTCATGATTTTCAATTTTTTCTTCAGTCCTTACAACATCTAGAACATCTAAAATTTTAATCTTTCTGACACATATATTTATTAAACAATGCTATCATGTGAAACAGTTAAGGGGAAATTGTAATCCCGATATGTTTTCTGTATTACGGGTACTACTTTGAAAACTGTTACAACAACAAAGAAATGTGTCTCCAGATAGCAGCCATAAATGAGTGACAGAAATCCAGTAAATCTAATTTTCTGGGGATCCAAACCTGATGATGTGTAAATAATCTCATTACAGCTTAGGTCACAACATTCAGGTCATCAGGTCAGCTAATGTGGTCACATAATCCAAAGGGACCTACTATTTGCAGAGAGGATATAGAATTGGGAGCTAAAATAGGTCTGGTAACCAGGCTAGAAATATGAAAAGCACTGGCTCCAAGGAATCGAACCCAGGTCCCCAGCTACAGAACCCAATGCACTAACCACTAGGCTAAAAGGTCCAGACATGGTAGACAGATCAGCTGGTGGCGCCTGAACCCAACTGTTACGCAAAATCCTACTTTAAAACTTTTGACAACTCTGCCAAAAGTACCAAATGAAAAGCATATAAAAAGCTATAAAAGTGATCTTATTGAATAACCTGATGCTAAATTCTCTCCAGTTTACCAATACAAAAGCCTAAATGATGTGACCTACATGTATGGCCAGCAAACTTACCTGCTGTTAGGGATCTTAACTGTACATAGAACACCTGAGTTTCAGGTGAGCTGTTGTGTTACCTGTGTAAATTCTCCTACCCCCATGATTATCCACTATATCACAGGTTTAGTGACTGACTGTTCCACTTTCTATTGTTATCATTGGGCAATCTTTGTTTAGGAAGGGGGCAATTCAGAAGACACTTTGTGGTTAGGCGGCACAATTTAGACCATTAGAGGGTAATTGGGTACTTGACCTCTCACTGACCCCTTGCTGATGCCATCGGGCCTTCTTTTCTTATTTTCTGCATTGCTACAACACAATGAAAAGCAAGTGCTACCGTATTTCACAAAAATTTGAACCATAATTTATTCCAATATGTTTTCATGGGCCTGTAAGGTCTCAATGAAGGATTCAGTACTTTTCTAAGACCTGGGATGTTAGAAGGGCCCAACTTTATCACCAGTGCTTGAGCGTTGGTCAGCCTGTTTGAATCTATTTAATTTTCTTTTAAAAAAGTATATACAAAGAGCTACATTTTCCTTACTTTGGACTGTACCATTGTGAGTAATATAGGGGTGTCTCACCTGTCAGTGTCGAGAAGTTGGACCTGGCTGCGCTTCATGCACTCCCTCACGGCCGCCATCCCGTCTGCAAACTTAGCCTGCATCCTCCTGCTGTACAGGGACGCTCCACCTTCACTCATGTACCTGCAACCAGCAAGAAACAACGTTTAACAACATACTGCAGAAATGTCCCCCTTTACTTATGTAACAATGTACCTGCAACAAGCAAGAAACAATGGTTCACATACTGCATAAATATTCTAGAGAGAGGTGCTAAAAACAGTTACTCAAGCAACTGGATATGATTTTAGAAATGGTCAGATGTTTCAGGTACCATCCACTACCTTTCGTCAGTCACTTGTAAGAAAGGCAGGCTTATAACCACAAACTATTGACTGATATGCTAGAGAGAGATGTCTACAGCCACTAAGCACCTGCACCACTGTAGATGCCTGCAGATGATTGATTTGTTGATTGCTTTAGGGTCTACGTAAAAGTACTTCAACTAAAAATAGTGCAGGGAGACCATAAACCTTTGTTTAAGCCTTTTTAAGGCAGTATTATCTTGCACAAGCTTCATCTAGCTCCAGATCTTTCTCAAAATGTACAAATTACATTTGTACCTCTCTATTGGCCTAGGCATACCTACTAAATACACATAATCAAAGAGATCGACATTACAATTTTAACAAGCCTTAACTATATTGTACTGGAAATACATTATGTCCCTTCAGCCTATGATACAGACCTGGCTATTACGTCACTGTAACCATCCAGGTTTGAAGGACTTCCATTGGTGGAAGATGAAGATGACTGGTCCATGGTAAAAGATTCTGGACAGTTTCAACTTAGTATGGTTTTAGAAGTAACTTTAGGTCGCCTAACAGACTGTCAACGACCAAAAGGTACTGATGGACACATATCAGAACAGGCATTTAAACACACTGTTGTGTAATATAAGGACACTGTCATGACTGCAGTATAAAAGACATGTTTACAATAAACACAGCAACACACAAGGTTTTTGTGTGGTACCCACGTCATCATCGGGCAATGGCATTGGTCCAAACTTTTATTTATCACCATAATTAGCAATAAAATATATACCAAGTTCTAAAAAGCCTAGGTTTCGTCTGCCAATGGTTAGTAAGATTATACAACTGTGGTACAAACATTTTGATTACAGTTGGAGGGAAAAAGTCATCTGAAGATTGCCCACTGATGATCCCTTCAAGACCTTGACAGATGACACCAGTACAAGTACAAACCATTAAGTACTGAAAAGGTGCTGAAAGACGTCAGTCAAGGTGGGTGGCCTGAGGTTGATAATGACGTAAACTTGAACAAGCTTGCCAACTTCTAGCAATGGGCTACCTGGACTTATATATGTGCTGAGGCACCCTTTTTACTCCAATTTTGTCTACAAAAAGATACATAATGAAGCATAACGGTGAACAGACTCTCAATATATGAGAAATGGTGATTTAACCCTTTTTTTGCTGCCTAACTCATAACTAAATGGCTACCTTCGCAGGCTAAGGGTTAACAATACATGTAGTTCTAAGATTCTCTTGGGCTGGCTCATTAAACTCTTAAGGTTCAAGTTTAAATATACGTGAGGTTAAGGAGTGAAAAATGTTCCCAGTTGCCCCTCCTCAGTTCTGCCCATGTTGGGTAAATTTGCAGATGTAATTGAAGGCAGATGAAGTACATGTTACCTGCCACAACACTTTAACTTCAGGGTTACATGGTGCAGTCACTATCGAATGGCTACCGGTACCCCCCTCCAATACCTGAACGGCCTCCTTTTCTCTGGACAGGAGACAGGAAGACCGGGCCACTCTGACCAATCCACACGGCGCTCCATATGTGAAGGTCAAGTTTGTTACGCAATAAAAATATGGCTGTTCCCGTCAGTATGAAGTTACTAAGTCATAATAATATCAAAAGAAATGCCTACACTTTGAATAAATCTGACTATCTTCTCAATATATCAAGCTACACGTAAGTACTGGTCCCTCTCTGGAGAGAAAAGGGAGACAGCTGACATGCTATAAACCGTTACGCCCGGTGAACGATGACCAAAGTCCGTCATGTGATGCCCCACTTGCGCACTTGAAGTCTAGACGTCAAATACTGCAGCACTGAAGTCAGGGCGATGTGCACATTGATAGCATATCTGAACCCGGCGGACCAAGTGCATTTCATCATTACACCAAAGGTGTGACATTTCAACCTATCAGAAAGGTTGCCGTCGTAAAATGGCCCTGTAAAATATTTGGCTCCGATGTGATGCCATTCCTAGTGTTCATCCTTCTCACATCATGGATATAATGTTACATCCACAAAGAGGACTAGCTTGCTCCGATAGCAGACCCCCTGTACGGTATCGACCCTTGTGGAATCCGAGGGGCGCTGGACTCCTGACCCTGTCATCGATTCAAAATCTCTTTATTGTCTTTCTGGTGTGGAGGTTGGTTCCGTTTTAGGGAGAGCCAAATATTCCTGACCTTCCCAGTGCCTGGTACAACTGTTTAAATGTTACAACAGGGCCGTGCCAACATACGACAAACTGTGGTACAAACGTTTGAGAAGTACAGTATTACTTGCTTTTGATTGTTTTGCAGCAGTGCAAAATATAAAGAATTGCAGACAGTTGAGCGCCAAATATTCCTGACCTTCCCAGTGCCTGGTACAACTGTTTAAATGTTACAACAGGGCTGTGCCAACATACAACAAACTGTGGTACAAACTTTTAAACATAACAGTATTACTTTTGATTGTGTTGCAGCAATGCAAAATATAAAGAATTGCAGACAGTTGAGCGCCAAATATTCCTGACCTTCGCAGTGCCTGGTACAACTGTTTAAATGTTACAACAGGGCTGTGCCAACATACGACAAACTGTGGTACAAACTTTTAAAATAACAGTACATGTATTACTGTAGTTGCTTTTGATTGTGTTGCACCAATGCAAAATATACAGAATTGAGGACAGTTGAGAGCCAAATATTCCTGACCTTTCCAGTGCCTGGTACAACTGTTTAAATGTTACAACAGGGCTGTGCCAACTGTTAGCCTGGATGCTATAACGGTTCAGTTCATGTCCACAAAACTGCAGTAATATCATAAATACTTATTTTAATGGGAAATTTACAAAACGACAGTTAATGCCAGTTACAAAACAATGATTACAAACCTCCGTTAGCAGATGTACAATGCATGGGTTTGTATCAGCTCCGGGTTTGGCTAATTTTCAAAACCTACACTTGGTCTAACCCTTACATGATATTATTGTCCAAGTCACTGTAACACTCCGCCATGACTCGGTCGCTGCATAGGATTTCCCGATTGTTAGCAAGCCTTTCTCCTTGACTTATCATACTCAGTAAGCCCGATTTCTCCACTTCAAACTGCCCTGAGCACCATTCAATCCCTCTTACTGCTCAGGCTGAAACACATCAAAGAGTTTCTCCCTTCTCCGTGTGTCTAACAACTCATGTTAGAGGCGTCAGCACACACTACGCAGTCATACATACCAGAATACTTGCCCTCCTTTAGTACACGCTGTTGAACTGTAACAGCCAGTGAGCAAATCAATCAACTTTGGTTTCTATGAAATTCCCTGTGTGCAGGTATTCTCTTCAAATACTCTACATGTTCAATGCCTATAGGTATAATCAGACACTGAACCATGTCTCTTTCCAATGTCCTGTACTGTACATGCTTTTACAGTGATACACTCAATAGACTAACACAATATTTTGTTGAAACTTTAACCCTCTCCCGACAAACTAGCAGTGAACAAACCTAGAATTTCTCTAGCAAGCCAAAATTTTAACCTTCTCCCTGCTGCCTGATCCTGTAACCATCACAAATTTAATGCCAAAAGGCTAACTTACCAAGAGGAAGGTTAAATACCATGGGTTTGGGATGAGCTGAGCTGGGAATGGGAGAACCGAAATGGCAGGGCTGTATCCTGGGTGTGAAGCCGTCACACCAAAACAAGTAAATGTTGACCTTTCTGAGCACCATCGTACCAGGTACAACAAATATACTCAGACCAGCTGGCCTGGCTACAACAGCCACTCACTGGCACCTGGGTTCTAGGCTGGTTCAGACCATGTTCTTATGAAGAACAAGGCAGTAGTCAGGTACTAAAACCCAGCACAAAGTTTGAAAGAAGCAGAGTTTCTCCTTATCCTTACTTTCAGGACTTAAAAATGCTTGTGACCTGCAGTTTTAAAGGATGATGCTAGGCGATTTTCCCAACTCACAATGATTAAGTATCTTTCCCAAAATTTTATCACTTGTTGAAAGTTGTTTCTGAGACATATTATTACCAACAACAACGCTTAGAAGATATCAAAATGTATCAATGATTGATTTATCCTATTGATAACCCAACAAATCAAACAAATGCTGGTAAAAGACAGAAGATTGTTTATGACAATATTGAACTGGCATAGCAACTTCCTATTCCTAAATGACATACTCACCTTTTACATCAGCACAGGATTCAGCAGTGATCGAAGTAAGACCTCATATTCCCACATCGGAATGAAATCCAGAAAATGTGCTGGTCCCAAAGAATTTACAGATTATTTTCTTCAAACCTTCCAAACGCTCCTGACTAAGCTGCCGAAATCAAACAACATTTTTGCAGCTTACTTGGCCTGCCAAACTTTCTACATCCATCCTGCCAAAGAATTATGACGTCAACTTGTCAACAAAATAGCTGGTTGTCCCTTGGAGATTCAATATAGTAGGATTAACATTGGATTAAAACATCAACAGCGATAGAAGGGCGAATCTTGGGGCTAATATTCCCATAGAAAACTATAAATACACGTCCACATGTCCCAGATGTAGGGAACCCAGCAGGAAGGAACACAAGTGGCCAGGTTTGTATTTACGGAATGTGTACGCGATGGCGGTCAACATGAGGGTTTTCAGATAGCCGATCCAACTAGAAAAATTGGCACAAGCGAGAGCTCACTAAATTTGGAGTCAACAAACCTTGGGTCAAATTAAGTTTAAAACAAAAAAGTCTATGGCTGACTAGATATGTTTTCTGATAAGTATTATAAAGTTGATAAACGTAACAGAAAGAATAACCTAGAAATAATTCCAGCTTGATCTGA